ATATAGCCGTTTTGAAAAATTCGATATATTCTGGTAATCGCGCTGCAGTCGATGTGAAGAGGGGTCGATCTTCACTTTTTCCCGTCTTTGGGATATCTGATTTTCTCTGGCTGCTTGTCATGCCTTGCTATTTGGGTCGAATCCTCTCCAATAATGAGTATCTTTTCAAGATAAATCTGACACTGACGCTCTTCTTTTTCTTTTTTTTTTCTTGAAATTTTGAATTTCAAATCTTATGAGTGACGCGCGTGCCGTCAACCGCTGACTCCTCGTATTCTGTGCCTCATCACGATTGTTGGTTTCCCTATCAATCTAACGGCTAACATCTATCTTATTTTCTATAAATATGATTGACTTTCTTCTTTAAACAATTTTCACTTCTTCCCAATTTCCTCTGCAACTCCGGCGATCTAGGAATCCGAGCTTTTTCCTCCGGCGATTTTTTTCACAGTTCCGACATCTTAATCACCTTTCAGGCCGTCATGAGTAATATGGGTAAGTGCTTTACTCTCTCTACCACTCTATTCTTTCTTTCTTTTATTTTCTGGGTTTTCAGATTTTTCTGAGCCCCTGTGTTCTTCGTGTTCTTCGTGTTCTTCAACCTTTTCTTGAAGATTTTATGTTGGATCTTGTGTGCACACTCTCCTTTTTGGTTAACTGCTAGTGTGTGGCTGGGTTACAACGTGTAACCATTTGTCGGCTTTTATTATGTCGATTCTTATCGACACCCGCTTTCTTTCTCTTTGTACCTTCCTCGAGTTGGCTTCATGTCGACTTACCGTCATGTTTCCATCGAATCACACCATATTACTTTCTCCCTCTTTCGTATTTTCGTCGACTTAGGTGAGAGGACTGTGCTTTGCTTGATTTTGTTTCGTCATGCCTGATCCTTGCTTTTGTTTCTTTTTCTTCTAGCTTCCCATTCTGGCTCGTCTCCCGACACGCTCGACAGACTGATTGATAGGGGTCTCGACCAATCTGATTCGGGTTCAGTCGAGATAACTGGTTATAGGACAGTCCATGTCTCTCCTCCTTCTTCTTCATCGCGTGTTTCTACTCACAAGGTCGATTGGGCTGAATATGATCAGGCCTTATTGGATGGTGGTCTTGTGGAAATAATGAGGAGTCCTCGGGAAGGCTCTCCTCGCCTTGATTTAATTCCTCGAGGTATTCCTATTAGTTTATTAGATATTCCCGTGTATAGTACGAGCCCTGTACTTGTTTCAATAATTACCCCTCTCGTCGATCCTCGAGAAGTTGTATCCATAGCCTGTCCTTTGGCCAAATTGGCCACTTTGAACCCTTTTTCTTATGCCTCTGCGGCTCAAGTCGAGAGTTTTAGGCAGTTTAGCGGGCTTCCCTCCGATTAGGAGCTGGTTACCCCAGGTCCTGACAGCGACTTCGCCTGTCCTCCAGAAGGTTGCCATACTTTTTTTGTCGACCAAGTCATTTTTGGCCTGCGCTTTCCTATCCAAGTCGAGCTTTTGGAGATAAGTGACTTGTATAGTATCCCAATAAATCAGTTTTCTCCAAATGCTCTCTGTATCATGATAGCTTTTATCGTTGTTTCTCGTATAGTTCTCCGTTTTTTCTCGGCCGAATTTTTTCATTACTGCTATAGTTATCGACTTCAAAAGGGGGCTTATTGTTTGATCCGTCATTCCGGCGTTACCTTTCTTGACGACCTTTCCTCAAATATCCCGGTTTGTCTTTATTCGGCCTCCCGTCGGTGCTTATCCTTATGCAAATAATTGGATAAGTACTAAAGTTAAACAGAATAAACGGTCTCGATCCGAGAACTTCGAAAGACTTTTAGAGGAGTTGAATAAGTGTACTTATACTGCTCGACGCACAATAAAAGATCGTGAGTTGGTCAATCACGCTCGAATCGTTCTGTATGACGATATCTCTCGGCTCGATGATCCCCGTAAGCTGTTCAGCATTCCTTACAATGTCGAGTTTTGTTTCTTATCTTCTTTTAATCTTCGCTTTTATTATTTTTTGTTTCAGTTAAAGCACTCAAGCGCTTCGAGGTGAAGAAAAAACAGCCCACTGGGCAGCTAGCCAGCGGATCTGCCCCTCCTCCACCCGGCGGGTCCGGCGTGAAGTCGGCTGCCGCTGCTAAAAAGCTCAAGTCCTCGGGTCCCAGTGCCCGCAAGAGGCCTCAGGATGATCGTGCCCCTCCCCTACTCCACGGCGACCTTAAGCGTCGTAAGGTCGACAAGGGCAAGGAGAAGATAGTCGAGGGGAACGCTGTATCTAAGCGAACGGAATCATCCGTTACTTATAAGGATGTGATGGTCAAGATGCCATCTCGGCTCTGGAACTACCCGGAGCTGCATAAGGTGGCTAGGTACCTAAATTCTCTACTCCCTGAGGCCGACAAGGCCCGCGTATAAGGGAATGTCTACGAGCGTTCTTGCTACGCTACACAGTGCCTCACTCGGGTAGGTGCTTCTTGCTCGAGTCTAGAGTCCATGTTTGTTTATTCTTGCACTATTTGCTTACTTCTCTCTTTTTTTTGTAGTTCTTAGCGGCCATTCTTCCCGGCCTCGAGGCGGGTACCAAGGCCCTTACTTCCTCTACTAAGGCCCTCGAGGACAGATGTGAGGCGCAACTTAGGGAAATTACCCAGTTGAAGAAGGAGCTGGAGGGGTCTAAAGCTTTAGTCGACAAGCTGAAGGCCGACAAGGCCGTGGCCCAGCACGACAATGGGAAGCTCCAGGCCGATCTTGAAAAAGCTCGGGAGGAGATCGTATTTGAGAGGTACGTTGGCACTGTGCAGGGCCGCAAATCGTTTCTCACGACACCGCTGGGTGCTCTCTTCCTCAAGACTTATCGCGAGGAAGTTGTCAAGGCCTTTTGCAACTCGTCCGAGTTTCTCGACAGACTTTGTCCCGCCGCCGTCCAATATTTCGATCATACTTTCGATGCCTGGGAGGCGGTAGTGGCGGGGTCTGAGTTTGCGGGAAGGCTCGACCGCGAAGCAATGAGGCTGGCGCTTCCCGACCCTGAAGGCTATGAGGGTGACCCCTCCCTCCCGGGCGATTACCAATGGTGGATTGGCCTGGAGGCTAAAGCCATTCAAGCCGCCAAGCTTTCTTCTCGGCTCGAGGCTCCCCCCACATCTCCGATCCAGCCGAGCGGGCCGAATCTTGAAGAAGGTCAGATAGTAACCACTATCGATGAGAGCGACGAAGATGCTGACTCTTATAATCGTATCTCTAGGCCTGTCGCCTTTTATTCTCTGTAATTTTCTTTTTGTTTCTAATGTTTGTTCTTGTCTCGACCTAGTTCTCAGATAGTAAGGGTCGAGATGATTCTTGTAATGAACCTATCTTGAATATTATCTTTCGTTTTCTTTTGCTTGAATTGTCATGCACTCGCAACTTTGTAATTTAAATGGGTTTTAATCATGAATTCATCGAGACTAACTTTTGTAGTCGTAAATTTATCGACACTTCATTTGTTGACACTTTGTAGTCGTAGGCTTCGTAGCCTTGCCGAGATTTCGCTCGAGGCATACAACTTTGTAGTTGTTTGAGTCGACTTTATAGTCGTAGGCTTCGTAGCCTTGCCGAGATTTCGCTAGAGGCATACAACTTTGTAGTTGTTTGAATCGACTTTGTAGTCGTAGGCTTCGTAGCCTTGCCGAGATTTCGCTCGAGGCATACAACTTTGTAGTTGTTTGAATCGACTTTGTTGTCGTAGGCTTCATAGTCTTGCCGAGATTTCGTTCGAGGCATACAACTTTGTAGTTGTTCGAGTCGACTTTGTAGTTGTAGGCTTCGTAGCCTTGCCGAGATTTCGCTCGAGGCATACAACTTTTGTAGTTGTTCGAGTCGACTTTGTAGTCGTATTTCCAACCTGTTGTAGTTCTTAAGAAAGTTTAAGTATGTGGATAACCGTGGTAAAATGTAAAAAAGACAATTCAAACATCAAAGACAATTCAAACATCAAACATGACATTCATTTCATTACTGAATTTAATTCGAACGTTTTTCAGTACAAAAAGAGGCTTTAGACTCAGCCTTAGGCGTAAAAGCGTTTAAGATGGATCACATGCCAAGATCGGGGCAATTGACGACCTTCCCCGTCCTTTAGCTCGTATGCTCCTCTCTCGAGAACTTGGTGACTGTGTAAGGCCCTTCCCAGTTAGCCTCTAGCTTCCCGACATGTTTGAGGGCATCTGCACGTTTGAGGACAAGATCTCCTACTTGGAATCTCCTGGCTCGGACTTTCTTGTCGAATGCTGCGCGCATCTTTTGTTTGTATTCGACCGATCGTAGCCAGGCCTCTTCTCGTCCTTCTTCAATCAAATCGAGGGCCTCTTTGGCCATTTCCTCGTTCTTTTCCTGCGCAAAGTATGTCGACCTGTGTGAACTTAGTGCAATTTCTACTGGCAGGAGGGCATCCATTCCATACACCATACTGAATGGTGATTGGCCTGTCGTGCTTCTCGGCGTAGTCCGGTATGCCCATAGAACAGTGGTTAGCTCGTCGATCCAGGCTCGTGATGCCTTCTCCAATCGCTTCTTTAGTCCCTGCAAGATGATTCTATTTGTAACCTCGACTTGCCCGTTAGCTTGAGGGTGAGCGACCGAAGCGAACCTCTGCTTGATCCCCATATCAAGGCACCATGCCTGGATTCGCTTGCCCTGAAAATGAGTTCCATTGTCTGAAATTAATATCTTCGGGATTTCGAATCGACAACAAATGTTGTTAAACAGGAACTGGATCATCTTCTCCTCGGTAATTTTTGCCAGTGGTTCTGCTTCAACCCATTTGC